TTTGTTTTATATAAATATATAAGTCGGTTAATTATTGTAATATGATTACATTTAAATATTTTGTATTTTATTATATACCCTAATATAAAAAGTATGTATCCTATAATTATATACCATTGATAAAATAAAATATGAACAAATAATATTTATATTAAGCACAATATAATAAATAAAAATTAACATAGAAACAAACATGACGTTACTGTTTGACATATATTTGAAATATGTTGCACAAAAGTTTTTAAGTATGAGCATCCTCGAAATTTGGGTGCATAATAATATTTTCATATTATAACTAAATAAATATAAAACATAATTTTACCATTTTTTTTTCAAAATGTTTTCATAAAACAATACAATACAAATATTTTAAAAATATTATATTTGATTATGAGACATTATAAATTTTATTTTTGTTTATAAATTTCAATTATAGAAATGTAGCTTTAGTATTGTTGGTATAAATAATAAACAAATTATTGATATTGTACGTTTTATACATATTGGGAAAAGTAATCGGCACCCACCGAATCAAACCCCTCTCTTAACCTAACTTTACCCATCTAAAATTCAAGGTATGAGAAATAGGAAGAAGGGTATTTTTCAAATAACCTATTATTGCCCTAACCAAATCGGTTGTAACACCCCAATTTTCATATATAGATTATATAACAAATAATCGTTCCAACATCTCTCAAGATCAATTAAGCACTTACTTATAGACTAACCTACAGCGAAAACAAAATAAAATAAAACAAAGTCTTCAACTAAACAACATCGGGTGTTACGTCTTTGCGGAATTCCTCTGTCAACTTCTAGATCAATCCTTCTCCTTGAACTTTTTTCCTGCCACTTGCTAAATAGTTTCCTGGTTGCGCACATTTAAAGTATCTAAATGGGTAAGCCTAGGGCCTAGTGAGTTAGTGTTGCACATACATGTTCATCACTTAAAAAAACAAACAATTTTATCATATATGTTCAATAAATCATACAACAAATATATCACCCGATGCCATAATTTAGGGGAATGATTAATTATCCAGAGAAAGAACCAAAGATTCATTTCCCTTCCCACTTCGCACAACACATCCATTATGCTCAAGCATTTAAATATCCAAAGAAATGAGTAACATCTCAAATCTTATCCCCGTCGGTCACAACACACCCGTTATGTTCCCAACTCTCAAACACCCATGTCCCCACTAAATCTATCATCATACACCAGCTAAACAAATCTAAAAACTTTCCACTTATCCTCTACTATGGATTCTTTCCAACTCTTCTTCAATTCACCCAGTAGTCTGATGCTTACATAAATTCTCATCATTTTGAATCTTACGTGATTCCTTCCTTATCTTATGACTTAGTGTATAAGTGACAACGTTAACCTTCCGTAATCAGTAAAGATCTTACACCTTCTTTGACTTTTGGTAATCCATGCACATCTACAACGTTCCATCCTTTTCAAGTAGGTTATGCAACTATTAAATAAATCCTTTCATCCTTCTAGGACTTTCGAGAACTCCCTTACCAATGGTATATTTGTCACATAATCTTCTCCTATGTAGTACCCACGCCTGAACAATTTTCCTACTACAATTTATGTTAGCATGGTTTTCGACAACTAAGCCATTCTTATCACGATATCAAAACCTCATAGTTCTACAAGTATAAGTTTTAGAGGTACAAACAATTGTCTATTTCAATCAAACAATAATCAAAATCCTTTCTTATTATTATCCAATGGTCATCATCATTCTCTATTTCTAGAGAAACTTTTACATTCCAGTCTAGGCACTTACAAAAAGCAAAGAAAGAAAAATGTTTGCATCCACATCCAATAGCACCCATAATATATATTTACTAAGAAAGCACATGCCACTATATCGGGGTATCATGAGCTTCCTGAGCTATCATTTGGAAAACACTTCCTTTTGTCCTTGTCATATCTGCCTTTTCATCTCCCGACCAATTCCCTTTCTCTGTCATCATGCGTTGATTATTGTTACCCTTACTTTGAGGACAGTTTGACCTGATGTGATCTGGAGCCCCGCACCCATAACATACCTTCCCCATTTTACAATCTGAAGCGATATGTCCTATCTTTCCACATTTGTAGCAAGTTCTTTGGTTCATATTACACTCCCCTTTATGGAACCGTTTGCATATAGTACATTGTTCTATCCCAGACTGTTGCTCATAGTTACGATCTGAACTAGAAGTCTTGCCTTTCTTTGAGTCTGTATTTAAATTTTCCAACTTCCTTTTTCCTAAATCCTTATTCTCACCCTGACGATTCTTTTCCCGCTCTCGGCCTTCTGCGGCGTCTACAGCAGACTGGAAAGTACTTGGTTTCTGAATTTGCACAAATTCACGGATAACTGTTCTCAATCCCCAAATATAGCGTTCCACCCTTCTTTCTTCTGTAGATACGTAAAATTCGGCAAACCTAGCTTTCTCCGTGAACTTAGTGGTGTACTCCCTCACAGTCATATTCCCTTGTTCCAGTTTCAAGAATTCTTCCTCTAACTGTTTTACCGCTGTTCGAGGGTAAAACTTTTCTTTAAAGATTCTTAAAAACTCATCCCATGACATGTTCTTGGCCGCCTCACGCCCCCTAACTTCCTTCACCATGCCCCACCAATGTATTGCCTCCCCCTTTAACATTGTCGCAGCATAAATCACCTTGTCCTCATCTGCACACTTGCTAGTATCAAATGTGCCCTCAATCTCCATAATCCATGTTGATGACAAAACGGGATCGATTTCTCCATTAAATACGGGTGGCTTACAATTCATGAACATCTTGTAACTACAAACCCACCGATCGTGGTTGTTAGATGCCTTGAGGGTTGTGTAATACTTGGTTCACGATTTATATTTTGTGTACTCTACTCGTAGTCTTCTTCACCTCCACCCAAGTTACCTTCATACTCACCCATTATTGCTTCTCATGCCTGAGCAACTACATCTGGCAAGGTAGCGTGTATCGCCCGAGCAATCTCATCAACCAACTCTTCTCTAGTGATCATGTTTGTCGTACGGCCCTTTCCGCGACCTAGACCTCGGCCTCGACCGCGGTGGGAGCCGAAGCTACCTTGGCCAGACGGTGTAGCTATCGGTGTTGTTCAGCTCCTCGCCCTCTTCCTCTACCCTTGCCTCCTTCTCTTCCTTGGCGACATCCTCGACTCGCATTAGGTATCAATGGAGTTTCCGGTACATCTCTAGGTGCTCTAACCTAAGCTCCAACTGGAATTTGTTCTTCCACCGGGGTGACCCTAGCAAACCTTCCAGATATCCTTGAAGACATGATACCTACACACGAGATGTGATCTAGTTTAGTCGTTTGATTACCTCTCGTTCCTTCCGTTTAAGCTTAAGTGTTTATGAAAACACCTAATATGCTTAAATAACGCTTTGATACCAACTTGTAACACCCCAATTTTCATATATAGATTATATAACAAATAATCGTTCCAACATCTCCCAAGATCAATTAAGCACTTACTTATAGACTAACCTACAGCGGAAACAAAATAAAATAAAACAAAGTCTTCAACTAAACAACGTTGGGTGTTACGTCTTTGCGGAATTCCTCTGTCGACTTCTGGATCAATCCTTCTCCTTGAACTTTTTTCCTGCCACTTGCTAAATAGTTTCCTGGTTGCGCACATTTAAAGTATCTAAATGGGTAAGCCTAGGGCCTAGTGAGTTCGTGTTGCACATACATGTTCATCACTTAAAAGAACAAACAGTTTTATCTTATATGTTCAATAAATCATACAACAAATATATCACCCGATGCCATAATTTAGGGGAACGATTAATTATCCAGAGAAAGAACCAAAGATTCATTTCCCTTCTCCTTGAGACAACTTATCATCCATTGTACTCAAGTATTTTAAATATCCAAAGAAATGAGTATAAATCTCAATTCCCATCCCCGCCGATCACACACATCCGTCATGCTCATGGCGATTAAACACCCCACCCGTTCCCACTAAACAAGTCCCAAAAAACACACACACACACAGTAGACAACAAATCAAAAATAATAATCGTACGCAACCATACATATCATAAAACATACTATCAATAAATAAACAGAAACCACATAATAAACCGTATGATAAACATTTATGTGTGAGCAACCACAAAACACGAAAAAAACTCACCTTGATGGCGTTAGTCTTAACCGGATGTCGTCACGCTACCGGCAGACATTCACCCTACGTTTAACCAACATTTATTTTCTAAGGCTTAATCCTATAAACATCTTATGTGTTTGTTTTGGTTCCATCACACATATGTCTCCTTCGGCCAACCAATAATTATTTCATCATATTAATTAGAATATGCGTAACAACTTTAATAAAAATATTATTATCTTTTTCTTCATTTTCTTTTCATGTCGTCATTCCCATTTATTGAGGTTTTACCCGTAAAAGATTTAATAGTCAAATGTCAAAATAACTAAACCTTAAAACAAAGACTTTGTTTGAATAATAACAATAAGTAATATTAACATCAATATAAAGTAGCAAATTTAAACTAACAACCATTTGGTTCAATCCTATGTCTCTTTTCGGCCAAGGAATACTTGAATTTGGTGAAAAACAAATGTTACGTTTTGGTAAAAGAAACCGTGAATTTAAACTTGCTTTATAATAAGTTATTCAAAATTTATATGTAAAAGTAAACATATAAGTAACAGCATAATAATAAATAAGAATGTAATTTTTCAATAAGTTGTGAGAATAAAGCAATGTATTCTAAAAAAAAAGTTGTTCAAATACCAAAAACAAAATAAAACAACAAAGGACATTATATGACCTATAAAAAAACCCAATGTACTTCAAAGAAACAAATATGAAAACCATCAAATGACAAGTAAAAAACATTCAAAAACAACAAAGTCAAAAATGCAAACGGCTTAGGAGTCTATGATGCGGAAACCAAAATGATAACGAACAAAGATTGTTTGTAGAAGTAAGATCAATTTACTTTTCTTTATTGGGTACCAAAAGAGGCATTGATTGTTCATCTGGTGGTGACAATCGAGTACTTTTAGAAGTAGACAAATTATCCATTTCATCAAGATCTATGGATGTAGCAAGGTTTCTTTTCAACTCATTTGGTGTGGAAATCAGCTTTATAGGACTTGTTGCAGTTGACTTGTCTATAGCAGACGGTGTTAAATTTTCACCTGTCTGCAAAAAAGAATCCTATTGTATTTTTTAGTTAGTTGTCACACATTAAAACGAAATATTTGAGACATTATAATTTTAAAAGTACAACCTTAAGAACTTTGGTCTCTTGGGAGACAATATCCAAAGAACCAATCATGAATGAATCAGAATTGGCAGGCTGCATCATAATATCAAAACAAAATGCTATAGATTAAGATATAGTTGGGTGAATGTGGTAAGAAATAAATATAAGTGTTGAAAAAAACCTGTGGAATAAGATTCTTTTTTTCCAGTTCATCAATTATTTCTGCATTCTCAGTTAATCTTGTTATCCCATAAATGTTACTTTTATTATCCACATTGTAACTTGTAATATCAATTATAATTGCCAATTTTTTGTCCACCACAACCTTCAACTCCATTGGATACAAATCCAAATTGTTGCCAAGCTAAAATATAAATAAATCATCTTAGAAAATATGTATGTAAACTATATAATGTATAAAATTAATAAGTAATTAACAACTATGAAATAATACATTCTTGTTTTTATCATACAACTCTTTAGCTGTGTATTTGAATAACTTCTTTGCTTCTTGATCAAATAAGGTTAAAGTCAAGGTTCCTGTGTTGTCTTGAACCCGAAGTAGGATTTTAAATCTAAATAAAATATAAAATTATATTACATTACACAAATATGATAAACATAAATCGTTATTATGTGGAATAAATATGTAATACCTTGGAATAACCGAAATTTTGATATTTTTGCATATTTGATTAGTACATTCATAAGTAACGATTTCGGCCACTTCATGAGAACCGTCAACCTTATCGGTAGAAGTCGATTTTTCTCTTGCTGACTTTTTGCAGTTGCTACAAGCAAGGTAATACCAACGTATGTTTTGACGTATTCCCTTAACAGTACCAACAATAATCACCGTTTTTTCCTTGAAATTTAAATACTGTTCAATGTTAATAAATGCTATATTGCGAAAGTGTATGTTAGTTCGTTATAACAATATACTATTTTTTTTGTTACAATTTTGAAAACTAAAAATAAAAGTGTATTAACGTAAGAACTATAAAAATAATGTGAAAGGTTCAATGACATCATCAATGTTTGAAAACAAATGATTTTTCATAAAGTCATCGTGTTCCCCGTCTTGTTTTGATGCAATCATCTTGATTCCACTTGATGAAAGTTGTTGATTGTTCAGAAACCAATCTGTTCATTTATAACAAATAAAAGAATTTTATTTATTATAGTATGAAAAAAAAATTAGAAAATACAAAGTGAAGCTTAAACAAAAATACTTCTTTTTGTTGCTTTTAATTTCATTGATATCATTGTTTATGAACAACCTACTAACATCAAAGTAGGTGGATGAAAAAGGACGACCTGCAAAATTAAAATTTATTATTTAATTATATATTGAATTTTAGTAAATGGTTGACGAAAATAATTACAAACCATTAATAAACTTCACTCTGGCAAACTGAACAATAACAACAACTGGAGCAAGGCTATTACTGTTAGCAAGAAAATCAGATATGTAGTATGCATTCTGACTCCACAAAATTACTTTAAGCTTAGTATCCCTGAAACAATAAAGAATATTGTAGAAAATATGAAATAATTTGTATTATTTGTTTGCAATAAAGTTGAATACTCTATATCTTGAAGATGCAACAACATTTTGTGTTGTGATTTATCTTATTCAGAGGTATCCATACGACCATATTCAAAAATGTGTCCAATAATATCTACAAGAGCAACAAAGTATAGGATTAAGTTAATAAAAATGATAAATTTATAGTCCAAAGAAAGAAAGTAGGATGTTATATAATAAAATTTAATATTAAATGAACTGACCAAAAGACTTTGCCTCCATGTTGTTTGAAATGATAGTATTGAAGTCAACAAAATCAAAGCCGTGTGCAGATGCAGAAAAGTTGTCACAATCTTTTACAGTTGTATCGTGGTTAAAGGTAAGTTTACTTTCCGGATGAGCAAACTTAAATTTTGAAGTATTTGGTGCTACGTTAGGTTTCTTAACATATATTGGACTATCTTCTTTAAGATAGCTTTGGAATTTTGAAAACCATTTCTTCACACAAGATGCATGAATTTTGCTTCCCTAAAAAATAAACAAATAAAAAACATCTAAATATAATGGCTTATGAATATTAATAATATTTTACAAAAATAATAATTGAATATATGCATCTTATACCTCCTCATCCATCAGAATCATTTCTATGGAGTATGTGTCGTTTGCATTAAATTTTGACTTTTTTTTGGAAAGGGAACTTGCCTAACGAGGGTTTCCGGGCCAGTTTTCGCGCACCGACTAATCCCCCACTGCAAACATAAAGCTTTGCCTCATTCCCTGGAGTCACTGCAGGCGAACCTCCATGGCCACAAGGGCTGAGTGGTGCCAGCATTTGAACATGGGTCAATAGGTTATCCACCATATTTTCCACATGCCTTACCATGTCACCACAACCCAAGTGGTCCAAAGATGTATAATCCGAACTTTAATTGTGAAATCGTCATTGATTGAATCAATTTCCGTTACAGGAGTTATATGTTCCATTGTACCTTGCAAATTAAAAAAAAAATTGTATAATTTAACAAAAAGTTACAAATATAAAAAAGAAAATCGTAAAGCACCAATTGATTTATCTAGTTAATTGTTTTACTTGTAAACATATGTGTCAAAAAGTTTTCAAATATACATAGCAGAGAAAAAATAAAAGATAAAAATGATGAAATAGAAAAGTGGTGAAGTATAAGCACATAAAAATATTTATAGAAAAAATAAGGAAAATAGTATTTTTAAACAATAAAATCGCTTTTAGTATAAGCACATTAACAGGTAAATAAATGGAATCAATCAGCATAAATAAAAAACTGTTATGTAAAGCACATATTGATTTATATATTTAACTAATTGTTTTACTTGTAAACATATGTGTCAAAAACTTTTCTCTTATACATAGCAGGGAAAAAATAAAAGATGAAACTGATGAAACAGAAAAGTGGTGAAGTACAAGCACATAACCATATTTATAGAAAAAAAATAAGGAAAATAGTATTTTTAAACAGTAAAATCATTTTTAGTATAAACACATTAACAGGTAAATAAATGGAATCAATCAGCACAAATAAAAAACTGTTATGTAAAGCACATATTGATTTATATATTTAATTAATTGTTTTACTTGTAAACATATGTATCAAAAACTTTTCTCTTATACATAACAGGGAAAAAACAAAAGATAAAACTGATGAAACAGAAAAGTATTGAAGTATAAGCACATAAACATATTTATAGAAAAAATAAGGAAAAAATTATTTTTAAACAGAGTAATCGTTTTTAATATAAGCACATAAACAGGTAAATAAATGGAATCATTTAGCACAAATATAAACTTGTTATGTAAAGCGCATATTGATTTATATATCTAACTAATTATTTTACTTGTAAACATATGTATCAAAAACTCTTCTGTTATACATAACAGAGAGAAGACAAAAGATAAAACTGATGAAACAGAAAAGTAGTGAAGTATAAGCACATAAACATATTTACAGAAAAAATAAGGAAAAGAGTATTTTTAAACAGATTAATCATTTTACTTATGTTAAAACTTGCAGAGAAGACTGCTGACGTCTTCTTTTCACATGATGTTAACATAATATTAAGATTCATTTTTTTTTTATAAAATATAACATGTGTTTCCTTTTTTTTACTTTACAGAATCGATGTTTTTTACTTGTGAACATGATTATGCAATTTTTATCTTTTCGGTGCAAAAATACCAATGTATAAGACTGTTATACATAAGAGGTCAAAAATAAAGTTAAAAGTGATGTTATACATAATAGATAAAAAAAATAGAGGAAAAAGTTGTGAAAGTTGGTTGATATTTATCGAAATAGTTAAACATGATAATAAATCATAAATCAAGAATGTAAAGTGGGTTGAAATCGAAATGGTTAACATGATAATAAATCACAAATCAAGAATGAAAAGTGGGTTGAAATCGAATAAGAATGTGGATGAAAAAAGAACATCTAAAAGGTAAAGAAGAGTGTAGTTTTGCTGACCTGATGATGAATATGTGAACTCTGAAATGTGACCTAACGATGAATATGTGACCTCTGAAATCGTATTGAATAAATCACGTTAACAGGAATCGTATTGACTTCTCAATTTGTATTGAAATATATCATCTATGTGTAAACTGATTGCCTGGTTTTTAGGGATTGATACTATATGGAATTTAAATTGATTAGCTGATTTTTTGGGATTCATACTATATGGAATTTTCGACAGAAATAAATCTGAAATTTCCTTATTTATTTCCTGATTTACATATTTATGTATTTACTTATTCATAATTCATGTTTGCTGTTTTACAATATTTTTTCAAATAGAAGGGCAAATTGGGAACTTCACTTATAATATATGAGCAGGAAAACGTAAGGTGGAGTGGCTAAGGGACTGCCAAGTGGCGTTTTTAGTACTGTTTTATTAGAAGAGTAGATTAAAAGTTTAATATCTTATATGTATAAGTAAAAAGTTGGTCTTACCGTTAGTAGGCCTCATTCACGAAGCCGGTCTATAAGGGGGTATAAGGTTACTACCCATAAAATTGTGGTTTAATGGGTGTCCACTCTCACCCACCGTTTGCTTTACTGGTGGAGGGTCATTAGCCAAACGGGTAGGACAGGACATTAAGTCTCATTATGAGTATAATGAAAATACCAAGTAACTAAACACTTATAAATTCCCAATCTTAGTTACTTAGGAAAGATGTGAATTTGGTGCTAACCCATGAAATTGCACTTTGCACCTTGTTAAGTCGTTAGTGGAGCACGTGTGGTTAACCGACACACTAATATGGGGCTAAAAATGTGTGGCAAAGGTTAGTTTGATGTTAATCATAGATCAATGGAGCATGTGTTGTTAACCAACACATTGATTAGGTGATCTGTAACATTAAGTGTACTAAGCTAATTTGCGTGGTTATTCACACTTTGTTTGTGATCATCGGCATCCCAGTCACAAACTTGAAAGGCATAATTGTGATTTAAACATGCTATTGAAAAGTTCAATGAATCTCAAAAGATCTAGGAATTTCAATTCATTTAAAACTTAATAATTAATTTCGTTTTTCATGGTGGAAATTGGTAAATCGTCATTTACCTACCTTCAAATATTTTGCAGTTGGATTACAACATCTCTCTTCCGAATTTTTAAAATATTGTGTTGGGTTCTAGGATTAATATTTCATTTTGGGTGTCATATTAAGGACATAAGTCAACTAAACTTGAGTTTCTCCCTGTAGATGTCTAGTTTGACAACTATGGTCTTCCCGAATCTTTTAGAAAAAGATTTCCTCGTGAAGATGATGTTCCCCGGAATCATACTTCACTTCCTCCACCTCCTTCAATAATTCTCCCTGACCCACATGTTCGAAAACTTGAAAAGTTCAAGGTCACTCAAGCCCTCTTAGCAAGCAAACATGAAGATGGAAAGTATGTATGTGCTCACGTCTTGGACATGAAGTTGCATATTGACAGGCTCAGAATGTTGGGTGTCATGTTCCCAAGGAAGTTGGCTGTTTACTTGGTTCTTCATTCATTTCCCAAGTCATATAGTGAGTTTGTTAAAGAATACTATGTGACAGATCATGACATGACCTTTATCGATCTTACCTATTTGCTAATTCTTGTTGAATCAGAAATGATTTGGGACACTGGTAAAGCAAATTTATTTCACATGCTTCGATGGACATTGACAATGTAAACATTGGAAGTCCAGAAAAGATTTCTCTTTCCCAGGGAAAGGGAAAGGGAAAGGCTAAGTCTGAAATTGTCTCATGTTCCAATGCGAAAGAAATCGTTTCTTTCTATTGGCATTTAGAGGGACATTGGAAGCGAAGCTGCCCTGGCTACCTGAGAGATCTAAGATATGGTAAAGTCAAAATGTTTGACTCTACTTCAGGTAGGCCTACCATCTAACTCTATTAAGTTCTTATTTGGAGATTCTTAATACATGATTTAATGTAATCACATTTTGATATTTTGTAGAATTGAAGAAAAGAAAGGAAGCTTAAAGGAAGAGTGACTTGATTCTGATCGCGAAGAGATGTATTTGGATTGCATGGCTCGATGATCAGAATTTTGAGCTGCTACTTAAGAGTTATGATAGATTGCTTAGGAATAGATAACAACATAGTCTTCATTTGTATTTTCATTGTAAGGACAAGTTTTCCGGACTTTTATAAATAAAGAAAAATTTTGAATTTTATATTATTTTAAATTTCCTTACAATGGAATTTGTGAAAAAAATTGTTGCTTATATGTTTCCATTGATAGCAATATTGGAAAATGGATATGATTCTTTCATTTGTGATAGTGTCAAATTTTAGCAAATAAGGAAAGATTCTCATCACCTAAGTTTCAATTGTCCAGAAACTTAGGATCGTGCAATTTGTATTGTGTGATGGATGAGAACCTTCTTGTTTGGGAAATTTAGAGTGATTCCTTGTTCACATGTATATATGAGTCAAGTAAAGGACTAGGGGATCGGGTACACTTAGTTGTGCGCTGGTCATGTCCACCACAAATAGCGACAAGACTATTCGTCATGATTTACTAAAGTTTAGTAAATATGGTTATGCTTACAAGATTAATCTAATTCTGAATCATTGGAAAAGTTTTAATGTATAGCTAGTAAATAAGAAGAATCAAATTAGGCAGAAAGATAAAAGTTTCTCCAATCTGAGAAGAAGGGAGAGCACTTGAGTATCGTGTTTTATGATTATCTTACTGATTATGAAACCATATCACAATTGATCCTCTAAGGACATCATAGTGAATTTCTATGGCTAAAAAGAGTAATCGTGAATTGTTGAAATGGTTAAATCAAAAAGATGAAACCAATCGAGTCTTAGAGTCATTCTCAAAGATCGAGCCTTGAGTGACATAATCTTAAGAAAGGTTTATAACACTTATCAAATGTAGAGTAAAATGTTACTTACTCTTGTAAATTTGAAATTGGTAAGTTGTGATGTTTCAGATAAAACAAAGATTAACTAAGACCAATTGTCAGAACTGTTTGTCTTGATAAGAAACATCACTAACTCTTGAATATTTGTTTGTAAAGGAATGTTCTTGACAAAGAGAAACTAATACATCAAGAGGTCAGTAGGAGTCTTAAAGATCTTGAAAAGTTTCAAG